CATGCAGTGGCTTGTCTCCATTCTCTTTTTACAGCTGGATCTCTGATGTGTGTTTGTTATCTCAAGGTAAAAAGCTCACCTTTTTTGTCAGTGAAGACAAGCTGTAAGAGGCGTAAGGCAGACAGTTTTTTAAAAAGCTCCGCTGCTCTTCTGTGGTGAAAGGAAATGATCTTTTGCAGCATTTTTTGGCTCCAGGATGGAGAAACTTCCCCGTGGAACATTGTATATTATGCTTCCCTCATCACTGTAGTATTTGAGTGTCCTGCTTGAGATCATGGGGCCTAATATATAAGTCTTGAGCACTTATAACGGCAAATAACAAAGAATTTTCATTAATTGGAGTGGCCACCTCTGAAAAGGTTTTGTATTGTTATGGTGTGCTACCAACTTCTGCAACAGCAGAAGCAAGGAGCCTACAAACATCAGCCTCCTTTACTAAAGAACCAGAGAAAATCCATCTTTTGCACTAAGGCAGGCTTCCTACTGGGGGTATGGAAAATTATATGGGATCGCATAATTAAAGACCATCATAATCTGTAAATACTAGTAAAGGGACTTTAAATCTGATGTTTTCTGACTTCTGAGTTCTTGACTTGGCAATTTTAGATTTTTTTTGTTTGCTGTTTTTTAAGTTATTGAGTGTCTCTGTGTGCTATGTGTGCACATGTGCACACAAACACGCTCTCCAAACTCTTTAAAAAAGCAAACTGGGAAAAAAATTCACAATTTTTTATCATGTGTCATTATATTGACACTCTTCCAGTTCATCATCAGCATTGGTATTTTTACAACCACACTTACAGAACCACCCCACTGCTACTTGAACTACCAGAGTAACCAAAATCAATAATTGGCAGATCCAGGGAGGGGTACACAAGTGCACCTGAACCCCCTTTGATTCCTGGTCCACCCAAAGTTTAAAATCCACTGTCTGGCAGTGGGAGCAGCTTTTCTAGTCAGGTACTGCTGAGGGAGTCAATTGACTTCATGGCTCATTATAATCTAGCTGATCCCTCCTAAACTCTTCATTCCAGAGGTGTTAATGACCCTCACTTCTTTTTAATAGTTTTGATATTCCACCAATTAAGCTATCCCTTGTTCTGCAGTTCTGTTGTCTGTTAGCTACTCTTGATAATGAAGCTCCCATTTCACATCCCTGCAGATATTTTAACTCATTCCAGTGAAGTTATATTTATTTTTTTGCTTCAATTTTAAACTGCATAATACAGCCCTGCCCCCCTAGCATTTTAGTAAAGCTTCTAGTTTATTTATAACTGGAGAATACGTGTCTTGTTTTGCATGTGATGATGCACCTCGACGTCTGCACCTCAAATTCTGGATTTGCCCACGGTTGTTGTACTCTGTGGGGATCAGCACTAGATGAGAGGGAAATGCATTTTGCTAGTGAGTTTTGAGTTTTACAGATGTTGATGACAACAGAGGAATGGTGACACTCAGGGGCCTTTGGTTCCATTCAAAGGTTTTGAGTTGAATGTGGACTACATCGCTACTGAACACAGAATCTACCTGTTTCCTTCAAGCATGATTGCTTTTGTATAGTTCTTTCTAACCTGGCTTAGTTATTTCTCTTCCCTGCCTTTGCTTTTTATACCAATCTCATTCTCCTTGCTTATACTGTCCCCATTTCTGGCCTCAGGCTTCTCATTCCAGTCTCAGACTCTCACCCCTCTCCCAGCACTGGCTGTCAGTCCCAGCCTCCTTCCCTAAGCTTCTCCTTCTTGATTTCCCCGCACTTTGCCTCTGGCTACTGGTTCTGTTTCTTTTTTTCTTTTTTCTTTTCTTGCAAAGCTAGTCCCAGTTTCCACCCCTGCACCCAGCTTCATGTCAGACCTGCCTCTCCTCTCTTCCCCTGTTTCCTCTCACTGGTTCTTAGGTCTGTAGGTGACTGGCAGGGGGTGCACGGGGATGCATGTGCTGGTGCCCCCCTGACAGCTGACACTGATGCTGTCGGTAGGGTTGGTGCCCCCCCAGTAGGGCTGCCACCATCAGCGGCTTCTGCGGGTACCCCCGCAGATTCAGGAGGCACCAGTCACTCATGCTTAGGTCTACTTTCTGTCTCCACCCAGTCCCCCTTTCCCCTCCTCTTTGTTTCATCTCATTTTGCCTCCCCTTCCATTCAACTGGCTACTAGCTCCACTTCCTCACTTTCACTGGTTCTCATCCCAACCAGCCTGTCCTTTCACTCGGTCTAGGTCTTTCCTTTCAGTTGGCACTCACAAATTCACACCTCATTTTTAGTCCGAGTCTCACCATGCTTCTTGTTCCAATCTATACCTTTCCCTCCTCATTGGCCAAGCATTTGTCCCATCTACATTTGAATCATGTGGCTTCCTCTTTCCAGATTCTGAGCACACTAAAAAAGGGTTATCTCATCTCATGTCTGGCTCTCAGCTCCACTCCACCTCAGAATAGCAGTTACATGGAAAGTCTTTCTGAGTCCTTGAATCCTAGGCTGGAGGTCATTTGCTTTGTAAGGAGGAAAAATGTGCATTCTGGTCAGATGTAGGAGCTGACAGGACATGGAGGGTGATTAGTAGCTCTCTGGAGATGGCATGTGTATTCTTGTTGGATATAGTTGTGTCTTGTCAGAGAGAGCATGCTCGGTGGGGCTGGAATCTTTGAAGAGATTAGCAGTGAAGTTCTAGCATGTTTCCACTGTATATGTATGGAGTATGTGTGTGTGTGTGTCTGTATGTGTGTGTTTTTTATAGGCGCAAGACTTGATCATATATGGGTGGATTTACATGAAGACAGAAAATGCATACTCCTGTTGCAAAGGCATCCTCTGACAAATTGTAGGTCCTTGCTCCGAAGCATTAGGTGTTACAGGACTTCAGTGAAAGTCACTGGATTTTTTTAACATGGGCAAAGCATCATATTCTTTCCTCATTCCTGCAGGTGACTGAACTGTTTTTCCTGCAAACTTCTGCCTATCAGACACTTGACTTGACACCTCAAAAAGTTAGTTTGGAAAAGTTATAAGTGGCTGAAAACAGGGACTTATAACAGGGAGTGCTAGGCAACCTTAAAAATAGCAGTGCTACCAGCATTTCCTATCTTATGTATGTACCAGGTTTTGCCTTCATGATCCCTTATAGTCTCAAAGGGAGAGTGCAGTTTATGTATAATTTATGGGTATACCATGCATCATGGATGAAGGGTAAGATGTCCAGTGAACCTAAAAGGACAGGGTGCACCTATAGTACCACACATCCCTGCACATGGTGATATACTATTTCTGCCTCCTTGAATACTTGCTCAAATCTAAATTCATAGGCTGTTTGCACCTGGGCCAGTATTCACCATCATGCAAAGAGCCAGTTTGGGATGGTAATGACATACAAGTCGACCAGGGAGGTCGCTGTCATGTATGGGTGCCATGAACTGGAACTGATGAGGGAAATAGGTTTCAGTATTACAGTCACATTTGTCTGAAGATACCAGTGAAGGAGAATTGAAAGTAAACCTTAATTTAAGTCTCTGAGGTCCAAATGGAATAAAATACGTGGAGAACACAATTGTGATGGAGAAAGACTCTTCCGATCTTTTGCCCTGTATTTTATTACAGAAATTTGTGGGTTCAAAGGTTCAGTCTCCACTTGTCAGGCAAGGATAAAGCTCTGATAAGGCTTCTTGCCATTAAAGGTTTATAGGTTTGTAGCTGCGTGGCTGAAGCAAAAGGAGCAATAGCTTTTTCACCCCTGGGACTGTGGTTTCAATCAAATTTCAATCAGTATTAAAATTCTAGACTTATATACAAGTGGGGGCTCGTGTGTCTGTGTTGTAGGGGATGGGGGAGCCTGTGAGTAATCTCACATTCTCTCTTGAGCTTTGCATTTTCCAAAATGACCCTTTCTTCCTCATCCACCTTTTCAAAATCTGGTTTATGAACTGTTCAGATAGTAGGGGCTGTTCCAAAGTTCATGGAAATCAGTAACCATCCTTCTGCTGGCTTCAGGGGACTCTGCATCAGACTCAGGTACTGTAGGGAACCATCACGCATAATGCGCATGCATCACAGAGATCAAAAAAGCTAGCCTACTGCTAGCTCTCCTCAATCTCTGACTGCTACAGAGCTGCTCATCTGTAGTTGTGCCGCAGACCCTTCAAAGTTTTCACAGCTTAGTTTATTTTCCTAACATCACAAAACACAAGGGATGAGATTTCAAAAGCATTCAGCACTGGTCCTTTTATGTTCTCACTGAAGTCAATGACAGCTGAGTGCTTTTGAAAATTGTATCTAAAATTCCTAATCCAGAAACTCATGGCCAAAGCAGCTTAATTACTACTGGGATGAGATTAGATGTTTCTCTACTCAGAAACAAGGAACAGACCAATTTTGCTCTTATGCTAGAAATACAAAGGAGGCCTCTTCCAATTTAAACCTCCGATTTCAACTTGTTCACTGTATAAAAGATCCATCAGACTAACATAGGGTATAAACAATTTAACTGCTCCACTCCATGGCTAACCGAAATGACCTACAGCTGCACTGTTCCCCACATGGAAGTACTCTCCACCAAACAAGAAGTCAAACTAGAGATATCAAAGCCTTCTTTTTAACTGTAAAGATTTGGTTAAACACAAAGCAAAGCCAATACGCTTGAGATCCTTGAGGTCTTGCTATCAAAGAGGGCAGCTACCAAGGATTATACATTGATTTCAGGGCCTAATAAATGACTGCTGCTGTGAGAGCTGATTTTGCTCTCACTGAAGTCAGCAGGAACAAAAGCAGATCCCATGTGTGTCTGGACACCCCATGTGCCTGACTGGCCTTTTACTTATTTTCATGTGTTGCCTGGCACATATGCCCAGCTTGGCTGTAAGTGGCAAGTCAGTACCATGCTAGCTATGAGACAACAGCTGCCTTTTTTGCATGCCCTATTGAATGTCATTATTGTGCAGCCAGAATAAGCTGAAACAGATTTTGATGCTTCTGGGTTTTTGTTTCTTCCCCCTGTCCCCTCTTCTCTTGACAGTTTTTTATCATGCTGTTAATTGTATTCCTGCTGGAGCTCACCGTTGTGATTCTGTTCTTCGTCTACACCGACAAGGTACGTATGATTTTTTCTCTCTCTTCTTTCCCCTTCAGCAAGTTTTTTTTATGCCCCTTCCCTTATAAATAAATCATGAAGCTTTTGCCTTGGTATGCACATCATGCTTCCCTCTTCCCTGAGACACCCCTCTTAGAAGAAGTGCTCTCAGAATACACAAACAACCTTCCAGGACACAGGTTCTCTCACGCTCGCTTGCTCTTTTGTACAATTCAAGGTCAGAGAGATTACCAACACAATCATGATTTAAGAAAAAAAAATCCCAAACCTCACCAGGGTGGGAATAAAAGGGAGAGAGAGAGAGACCTAATAGACAGGTGCTAATCACAGCAGGATGTTGAGCAGCTGAAATAAAAGGAGTGATAGACTGTTTTGAGTATGTTCACATTTCCGAAGTTCTTTTGGGTTTGGTAAAAAGATCGTATGGCTGGGAGAAGTATAAAAGGCAGAGGTAAACAGCATCTTCTGTCAAACTTCTTTTTTTGGATAAGTCAGCATCATAAGATTTAGATAGTGTCGCAAGCCAGGGTGAAATGCAGAAGAACCTTTCACCTCTGGGTTCAAATTTGACCTGGGTGTACCACTGGTCTGATCCACTATGGCCACCCCTTTTGTTTCTATGGCAAACTAGGACAGCTAGTTTATGGGCAAATGTCATCTCCTCAGCACACTCAAATTCCTTTAAAAGGCTTTAAAAATAGTCCAGGAAAATCATCAGATATCATTTCTATATGAATCCAGTCAGCTTCTAATAAAATATGTTACCATCAAGGAAAGGTAGCTGTAACAGAATCAGTGGCAGGTTCTCAGAACGGAAAAATGTTAATAGCCAGGTTCTTTGACCTGGTGCTGATCACTAAGTTTAATAATAATCTACAAATAGAGTGAATAACAAAGTGGCAATGTGTCTTTTTGAATCGCCAAGCTGTTAAATTGGTAAATAATTACTAATTACTTTAAGAGAGTCTCAGAAAGGAGCTTATTGGACAACAGTATGGCAGATGAAACCCTTCAATTGACTTGGAAGATAATTTACATTATAAAGGGCTATTTAAAATCACTTGTATGTAGTGATAGATTCTGAATTAGCTGTAACTGCTCAGGAGAAAGGTCTGTTGGTTTGAGAGGACAGCTTAATAAAAACATCTGCTTAATGTGCAGTAGTACTCCAAAAAAACAAATGGACCACTTGGGTCTATTAAGAAGGGGCATCAGAAAAAAATGAATGCCATTATGTAAATTGATAGAATGGCCTCACTGAATTGAGCGCTAAATTCCGATCGCTTCATCTCAGAAAAGGGGAACAAAAATTATTAGAACCAATGGGAAAGGGGACTTCCATATGAAGAGGGATTAAAAAGACGATCATGATTTGGTATGGGAAAGGTGAAATGTTAAGAGGGAAGACTATAGCTATCTAAAATAATGAATAACATAGTGAAAGTCAATGATAAAAGCACAAGGGGGTATTTGAATTTTTAAAGTAGCAAGTTTAAAGGAGGAAAAAATACTTGTTATGCTGTATGCAGTCAACCTGTAGAATGCTATACCATGAGATATTATTGAGGCTAATAATCTAATAAAATATGTACAAGTGGAGAAGAAGGAAAAAAAGTGTGGATACTTATGTAAGTAAACCAAGCCATGCTGTTATGTTGTTTGGGATAATAATTAGCAGGGCTGTTAGTCCTAATTCTTCAGGCCAAAATGTGGTTGCAAACCAGGGTCAGAAAGAAATGTCAGTTTCTTGTCCTCCTCTGCACATGTCTTACAGAATTTTTTGGTTGTGTTATTCCTGAAGGCAGAGGGAGAGCTCACCTTGCTCTAAGTTATCTCCTGTAGGCCAGCGGTAGAACCAATAAAGTTAAATTAAGGACTGTGCACATCTACATGAGATGCTTTACTGCATAGTAAACTAATCTACAGCCCAGTAAAATGTCATCATCTACACATGTGCATTATTTATTGTGCAGTAAGTTAGTCTACTGCATAGTAGATTTACTGCACAGTAGCTAATGTGTAGACAGCCAGCTGGGAGCAAATTGCTCCCAGTCAGTCCCGGCAACAGGGAGCATGGGTTGGGAAGCAGACAGCTCTCTGGGGTAGGGGGCAGTGTCCTAGCCTCCACTCCAACCTGCCCCTTAGAGTAGGGCTGGGAAACAGGCAGCTGCCTGGAATGGGATGGTGTCCCAGCCCTCACTCGTATCTGCCCATCAGGGTGAG